CTGGGACAAGTTTTTGACATCTTCGATGTTTTGAGATGTTTTGGCGTCGCCTAGCGGCTCTGAGTCAAACGGATGTGGTAATCATGCTCAGGGAGTCAGATCAATCCAATGGTCAAAATTCTACACAATCTACCTACAGGGTGAAGTTTCAATCGGAATTCAGAACTGATTTCGGTCAGAGATGCAGTAAAAGTGTAGCGGTGACAAGTTCTCTATTATCAATGACTCCACATGTTTCAGCCTGCAAGGACCGCAATGCTACTGCCAAACGAAGAGCCTTCTATGGAATCAGCAAATACCAGTACGATTGGAGATACCCCATCGGAGGCTGTCGCGCAACCCGTTGTTCCTCCTGAAGCGGTTCGTTCTTCATTTGTGTCCTAAATGAAAATTAACATCTTGATTGGGTTCAGGTCAAAACTGAAGTAGAGGAAGAAATGTCCGGTTCAATCACCACCAACTGAGGCAATGCATGTAGGAAGAACCAGTCGAAGAGGAAACTCCCACGCAACCAGCCGGTCCTTTAGGGTCGTGGACGCGAGTTAAGAAGGTTGACAGGTAATCCTGGCACTGAAGCCTTTTTTTCGCAGTTTCGCTCATGTATTCGTTAGCAGAATACATTTGTTTTTCACAAATTATGAAGTCATTGTGTTCAGTGGACCAGTATTCTCGCCTCTTACTGCAAAGTATCGCGCAGAAGAAGAGCGACATCGAAAGGAGGCAGAAGCACGAGAAAAGCAACAAGAGAAGTTGGAACCTGTTGTATTCACAGAAAAGACTAGCGCTGTGTTGACGAAAAAGGTAACTATCGCACAGGTTTATATTGCTGTAAAATCTGTAAGAATCAACTGTTCCGTTTTTTTTCAGGTGAAAGGCCCAATCGAATTCAAGAAAAGATCGGCTGCAAAGAGTGTACGGCAACGGACGCAATAGCTTAATAGTATCTTTAGGTTTATGCATGTTGATCTTACCACAGAAAATTAGTAATTTGATATATTTACCTCCTCGTTTCCAGAACATAGCAGTAGAGTAAAATGCATTCCGTTTTGATTAAATGTTGTCTTGTTTTTGTTACTTGTGCTGTTGTGACAAAGCTCTTCGCCTTATATGTATGCTTTGCTTCGTCATAATGAATATGAACGGGTTGCCTTGTATCCAATGTTTGGGGATGAAGCTCCTTATATGCTGTTGATTCTTTGACATTACTGCCGTTAAGAGACACCATCTGAAACTACCATGGTTGGGCGAAGTCAGGAAATACCGTCACTGGCGCAACTTTTGTCACCCTCTGTGGCGTTGAAGGCGTCGAAACAAGAAAATGCTTGTCAGTTACCCCTTTTTCTGGCGCCGCCCACCCTCGGGAACTCGTAACTGTATCACGAAATCACAGTGTTACGTTCAAGAGAATGGATGAGGACGATGATCTATTCGGCTCAGACCTCGACGATGACGATAAAAGAGAAAAGGGAAGTCCTGAAGACAAGAAATTCTTCTTCAGAAAAGAACTTCGTTCTATGCTTTACGGTTTTGGAGATGACAAGGTTGGTAGTATAACAGGAGTTTTATTATCGTTCTAGGTTTTTTGACGATTTTTTGCCGCTTCTTTGAAGACACCGTTCGCGATAGCCACGGGCGGAGTTAGGGAGCGACCACTGGCGCGTCCCTCTTCTTTCCACGTTCTTGGTCTAGAAGGAGGGTAAGAGGAGGGAAGCGCTGAGTCGCGCTACATCCACACTCTCGGCAATCTCGAATGGTGATTTCAAAGACGACAATGTCAGCCGCCATTGGCTCATAAGTTCTGCTCTCTTTCTGCTGTAAACGCTGTTTTTAAGATGTTGCCTTTTTGTTGGTTTTGATGCCTTTTTTGTTGGGTGAATACAGCCGGCTTTGCGCGCTGATGCCGCGCGCGTTATTACGAGATTTATCGCGATCAAATCACTGCCACTATTTGATACTGCAACATGTAATGGTTCGCCAGTTTTGCATACGGTCGATCCCTCTTCTGTTCGCCCTATCACACTCCTAGACGCTCCACAGTCGCTGCGTGCGCCTGCTCAAAGGGGAGCGGCGGTGATTCTGGTATACCATACGCTACCCTCCCACTGGTTCGCCTCGCCAGCCTCCATGGGCTTCGTCCAGTTGCCGCGCGAGAAGATTGTGAAGTGGCTTGCAGTGTACAAAAGGTTATGTTGTATAGTTGGAATTATTACAATCAAAACAACATTTTAGTTTGCTAATATGAATTAGCTTGCAGTTTCGCTAGCAGTTGCTTCCTACACTCCGGCTGCATGCTCCTGTTCAAGCGTGCGCTACGCGTCCGCTCACTCAAACTACATATTTCCAAGTCCGGGTGAGCAGTCCAGTGTAGGACTCAATGAGTGCCGTTCTCCTCCCCTCTCTTCCCACCCCCCCCCCCCCCCAAACCTATTCCCCGCACGACTTCACGTCAAGCCGTCACGCAAGCAGCTTGTGAGCTTGTGCTCGGGTGTACTAAATAGTTGTGTTGTATAGTTGAAAGTATTATCACAACTAAAAGAACATTTTCGCTTGTTACAGTAATGTGATTTATTCGCAGCTTAGTCAGCGGTTCTTTCCTCCTCTTTGAGCGCTGCTATTCAAGCGTGCGCTACGCACCTTCTCACCGTACCCGTTCACTCGCTTCCCTCAAGCGCCTTCACGTGCATGTTCCCAGGCCCGGCTGAGCACGTCTGGTGGAGGGAAGCAGGGGGGTATCCAGTCCCCGCTCCCATCCTGCCCTCGCACGGCCTACGTCCAGCTAGCACGCGAACAACTTGTGCAATGGCTCGAAGTGTACTAAATGGCTGTCTTATATGCCATGAGGGTATACGCAATCGAAACAACATCCTAGGGCGTTTCATGATCATGCATTAATCTGCTTTTTTTCTAGCGGTTGTTTTCTTATCTGTTGTTGTTGTTGCTGCATGCTACCGCTCGAGCGTGCGCTACGCGCCCCTCTCACCGAACCCCTTCACCGTACACCCTCCCCTCTGCTTCCTTCCCTTGCACATGCTCAGGTCTGGCTGAGCACTGTGCAGGGGAGGGAAGCAGATGGGAGGGGTCACTCGGTGCCCGCCCCTCGACTCCACCCCCCTGCCCCCGCACGAGCACACGTCAAGCTGCCACGGCAGCAGCTCGTGCAATAGCTCGGAGTGTACGAGTGGTTGTCTTATATAGAGGAGGGTCTTAATCATAATCAATACATTGGGTTGATACATCTGCACCTAACTATTTTCGGTTTGCTTAGCGGTCGTTCTTCCTTCAACCAATTCGAACCCATGAAGCATTTTGCGGACGGACAGACATACATACATACATACATACCGACAAACCGACACACAGAGTTAGTGGTTTATAGAATAGGAATATCCCTCTGCGATAAGCAAAAGGAATGCTGTTATTTTCAAAAGATATTTTGCATTGAAAATTGGCACTGCTCAACTCACTACCCAAAAATATATTAAAGATAGTTCCTCACTGAAACCCCGCCAGAAGGGATTTGGGTCTTCGTGTGAACAAGAATATAGCTTACTTAGGTTACATAGACGACCCGTTTTCAGCACGGCGGTTGACCTTGCGCGGGTCCCAACTTTTTTTTCCATTGTTCTCTGTCCTGAGCCTTGCTTGACAAGAATATAGCACTAGTTTTTAGTGCAAGAGCCTACAAGCGCTTATTCGCCATTAGCGCCGTTGTCACCAGAATAGATACAAATTTATATACTCGGATTATTTGGAGTTCTAGTTACGAATATAGCTTTCTTTTTCTAGCAGCGGTGCCATTTTACTATCACATGCGCCAGTCTTGCGATCAACCTTGTTTGGCGACGAAAGAGACTTTAGTATGCTGAATTTGGGCATTTCACACAAGTGCGAAGCTTGCGCAAAGCCCACAGTGGGTGGAGCTTCTGCGCGAACATTCGTGGTTCTGGGATGAGCGGGCGCCGTTGAAAAAAGGTCATGAAAGTCGATATATGCTATGAATCTCTAGAAAAGTGGGTGAAGTTATCAGTCGGCCCTTGTCAGTTAGTGTATGTGGGATGAATTGGAGAAGTGCAAAAAAAGTCATATAGACAGAAGGTATAAAGTAAAATTTGTAAATCACGATCACGCTGACGGGGGTAGAGATGGGATGGGGCTTACGATGTTTCCTAGTGTTCCTTACGATGTTTCCTATGTTTCCTATCAGGGATTTAAATCGTGGTGGTTCGCACGCGATTGCTTAATTGCTTTACGAAAGATACGTAAAGCAAAAAAATGCTGTCCACGAAGGACAAGAGTTTAAGCTCATTGCGGGCACAAGAATACTTGTCCTAGGCGGTGTTTTCTCAAAAAAATGTGATTCACCATTGTGTTGACCATTTTCTGACTCACATTCAAACAACATTCAAGTACATTCTTCAGGTGCCATATGACAAAACCCTCGAGACCCTAGAAGGAATAGTTTTGGACTACATTAAAGAGCTATGCGAGCGAGCAATGAATGTGAGACATTTCGTTTGAACACAGTTTTCTTTTTCTGTTTTTAATTCTATATTCGCGATATGCATACATGCGTTACTCACGGTTCAGGTTGGAAAACCGGACAAGATTGCGTTAGAGGATATCCATTACCTGATCAGACGAGACCCAAAGAAATTTGCTAGAGTTAAGGTAAGTATCTTATAGCAGCCCCTGCGAAACACTGCTCTGGAATCTCGGTTTTCAGGATCTCTTATCGATGAGTGAAGAGCTCAAGAAAGCGCGTAAACAATTTGACGACGTGAAGCAGTTATGAACTGTAGGACCGGATCGAAGTTGTAATTGGCGCTTTTGTTGTATATAGTCTGTAAACCTCTACAGGTTGTGCTCCATAAACTTTTCAGAAAAAAACTTTCACTAACCTACATAATAACTATACTATAGTGAAATTAGTCTAGAACAAAGCCTCCATGAGTCTTGACAGCCCATTTCCTTGTTGAAGAAACAGGGCAAAAAAAGCAGGGCAGGGCAGTCCATCGTACCTCTACACTCCTAGAACTCAGTGGGGAAAACAGCATAAAGTTGCTTGCGGTGTAGAGGGGGTAATCAGTGCAGAAGGGCAGCGGCCGTCCAACACTGCAAGTCCATCCACGCATCAAATAGGACTCCGGATACCAACTTATAGTCGCCAACTTTACTGGGCCCGCAGCTCCCAACAATGCCCGCAGCAAGGATTAGCCAGTGGGCGTGCAACTAGGTGTAAGAATATAACATCTTGATAGAACAACAAAAACACATTCAATGTAAAGGCGAGCTTAACAATCAACACACAGTCAAAGAATACAACGTACACCGGGAATAGGAATAACAAAGATATCACTTAATCGCGCCAGCTCAGGCTTCCAATGTGGTAATAATTTTAGTTTCCCTGTTCTCAGAAACGAACGACCCTTGTGAAAATCATATACTTTTCTCACTTTGCTCCTAAACGACTTAGGAGAACTCGAATTTATAGTACTGGTTGGCAAACTATTCCAAAAACTGATAATCCGTTGAGTAAAAGAATTGCGGTACTCTGTTGACTTTTAATCTTATCTCTTTATGAAGCCTTATGTATCGGTGACGACGTTCTGGTGCGCCAATGCGTTGGAAAGGATCGTTTTGGAAAAGGCACATCAAGTCCTACATCTAAAGCCAACTATTAGCGGAATGTTTGAAAAGTAAGCCTCGTAAATCATCCAGCTTATCTTATCTCACTTTGAAGGTGAAAGTCCTCGCTCTCAAGTGACTGATCAGGATTATCTCTATGTAGAGTACATGGAACATATGACGCGCTCACGAGGCGAAGAATGCTAGACTGAACCCGCTCGACTCATTTCAACTGGAGCGGCGCTATAGGGGCTCCCACAGCATACGGGGCAATAAACCCGAAGGCGATAGGGGTACAGCATGCACGTCTAACAGAAAGCTTAAACAAGGTGTTTTGATGGCTTCTGTGAAGAGAATCGCACGCCAGAATGAAGTATTGCACGTTGCAAATGCAGTGGCGCTGAGATGCACTCACTTTCTAATGTATCGCATGAATGACAGCGGTACGATTATTAAGTTAATCATCGTTGAGTCAGTAAAAGCTTCTTGGTTTCTTTCAGTCTGCAATACCAAATTAATCACGAAATTCTCGGGAGTGCAGAAAAGGGTAGGAAAGACCCCACCCGCGCGCAAAACAACACTGTTTTTATGAACGGGAGATTGCGAGTCCCCCATTTCCGTAGACGCACCACAACGATATTGCATCAAGAGCTGCTTGCAGCAGGGAGGGTTGGTTCGTGCAGTATAATTTGACATCATCCGCATGCATCGTCAATTTATACCAGGTGGAAGGCTTTCAGGCAGATCGTTTATGTACATGCTGAACAACAGAGGTCCTAGACAAGAGCCTTGGGGAACGCCCACTCTCGGTCTGGTAGATTCTGGAGCATGAACCGTCGAGGACAACCCTCTGGTGTCTGTTACAGAGGAAGGATTCTATGAACTTCGCAAGACATCCGGTGATGCCGAACTGTTTTGGATTTAGAAACAAAAGTTGCAAAGGAACGGAGTCGAAGGCCTTGGCAAAATCAATGTAGGCTGCAAACACAGTTTCCTTTTTATTATCAATGGTGTACTGCCAAGCGGGAATAACCGAAAGAAGTGCTGTTGTGGTAGACTTCTTTGGGAGAAACCCATGCTGGCAATGTGACAGAAGATTTCTCGATATAAGGAAAGCTCGCATTTGCCCACAAACAATCCTCTCCATTACTTTGCTCACTGAAGACGTGAGACCAGTGCAAGGGCCCTACAGTTCTTGAAAATCACTCCGGGGTGCCTGCTCCTTTCTCGAATATTGGCCTAACCAGTCCCAGACGCCAGATGGATGGCACTTCCCCTCTCAAAAGTATTCTGCGGAAAAGATGAGTCAAAGCAGGAGTGATAGCTTCAGCAGATTTCTTGAGAAAGATGTACGGCAACCCATCAGGTGAAGTAGAGCATCGAAGAGGAAGCTTATTCAGGGTGCGGAAAACATTTTCGTAATTGATATCCACCCAATCAAGAGTCTGTCCGGTCAACTGTGAGCCGTCTAAGTCGTCTACTGTCCGAGTAACATCCTTTTTGTAAAAAGTCTCAAAGTATGTAGCAAAAAGGTCAGCCTTCTCATAGTCAGATGTGCACACAGAACCAGTAGACGACACGATAGCACTGATTGATGAAGACTCCTTTAATCTAGAATTACAGTAGCTCCAGAATCTCTTAGCGTTCTTAGAGGAAGCTATGCGCTCCTCATGCTTGAGTTTAAGCCTTGCTAAATTCTTTTTAAGTAAGCGGGACAAATACAGGTATTGTGGATTGCGCAAATAATTACACAATTCTAGAATAAGCGTTCAAAGTCTCGAGAGATTTGATATTTTGTAGATAGCGGGGCACGTGGAAGTCTCCCTTAGTTTTACGACCGCGCGGAACGAACTGGCATATAAGAGAGTGGCAAAAGTTGGTAAATAAATAACATTCGTCCATAGATCCCATAAAGATATTTTGCCAGTCTACAGCGAGAAGGTGACGGCATATGGATTCATAATCCCCTTTAGCGAAATCTAGAATAGGCTTAGAGACAGGTTGGGAATGAATGGTCGATAGAGTAAAGGTCACC